CCATGGTCTTCTTCATGGCCATTGTGGTGGCCTATGTGCCTGAGGGGCTACTGGCCACTGTCACAGTGAGTGGGGGGGATAGATGGGAGTACTTCTGTTTGTCTGTTCATCCTGATGTGGACTCTTCACCTCCCTACCTGTCCATCCATCCATTTACTTTCCTCCTCCTCTATCCTCCACCTTCCCCATTCATCCATTCTTCTGCCCATCCATCCAGCACTCACCAAGCTTCTCTTGGTCATGTCTTGTGCCACATATGAGAGCTGCACAGGCAGGGTCCTAGACCAGAGAAAGTTGAGGTCCAGCGTGGGCAGGCAGCATGCGTCCAGGCTTTTGACCCCACCCAGTTGGAGGCCTGGTTAGGGGAGGGCCAGGGGGTTCTTTTGCCATTTGATTGTGCTGATAACAGAACCTCAGTTGAGACAGCAGAGGGTATCTGGGCAGGGAGGAGAAGGCATCCCTAGGAGAAAGTGCAGGTTGGACAAAGGCTTTTGTTTGGCAGAAGAATGTTGCAGTTGAAGTGCCGTAGCTGGGATAAGGCTCCCTACTCCTTGGGGTGAGAGGGGGGAAGTGGGTCTAGAAGCAGGGTCTGCTGCTCACACCTGTGCACCCCACCTCCAGGTCTGCTTGTCTCTGACAGCCAAGCGGCTGGCTAGTAAGAACTGTGTGGTCAAAAACCTGGAGGCTGTGGAGACTCTGGGCTCCACCTCTGTGATCTGCTCGGACAAGACGGGGACCCTCACTCAGAACCGCATGACGGTGTCGCATCTGTGGTTTGACAATCACATTCACACAGCAGACACTACTGAAGACCAGTCAGGTACTGAGCTAAGAAAAGACTGGGGCTGCAGCAGGATGCCCTCGATGGTGGAGCTCTGAGGCAGCCTGGGGAGGCTTTGTGTTATCGACCTCCTCAGAGGTGACTCAGCTCCAGACCCACAAAAGGATTCTATGTCCTGAATCAGGAGACTCAAAATTGAGTCTGGAGAGAACGCTTCATCCTGTGGTAGGGGGAGGAATTGAGTCCCACTCAGGCCTGGGGTGGGGACTCCAACCTGAACGCAGGGGTAGGGGCTCGATCTGGGCTGGGGGTCCCTCTCCCTGCGGCCCTAGCCTGGGTGCCTGGTCTTCAGGGCAGACGTTTGACCAGTCCTCGGAGACATGGCGGGCTCTGTGCCGCGTGCTCACCCTGTGCAACCGAGCAGCTTTTAAGTCCGGCCAGGATGCAGTACCAGTGCCCAAGGTGAGCAAGTGGGGGACTTGGGGGTGTCAGGAGCCTGGTGAAGCCGGGTAAGACCCTGACGTCGGGCCTTGTTTCCAGCGCATCGTGATCGGAGATGCGTCCGAGACTGCACTGCTCAAGTTCTCAGAGCTGACCCTGGGCAACGCCATGGGCTACCGTGACCGCTTCCCCAAAGTCTGCGAGATCCCCTTCAACTCCACCAACAAGTTTCAGGTGTGCAGCCAGAGCAGCCGGCCTCGAAAGACTCCACCCACCCACCTTCGGCCACACGGCCACACCGCTACAGGCGGGGCTTTGCCCCCTACCACTTCCTGGCCATCCCCATGCCCTCTCTTCTTCGCCCACATGCAAGCCCCACCTCCGGCCTCTAGAGCGAGGACCCCGGCTCACTGTCAGTTCCTGCCCCAGCCTAATCTGCTCCCTGATTCTGTCCATTCCTTGCGCCCAGGACCCTGACCCGGCGTCTAGTCCTTCGGCTGGGCCTTCAGCTTCTACTAACGACCTGCCCAACACACCTGCCCAGCACCCGAGGCCTCCCTAGACTCTTTCGGACCCCGTCCCCGCCACCCGTGGCCCCACCCCACTCTCCTCCACCCACTGCCTCTTCCTACAGCTGTCCATCCACACTCTGGAGGACCCGCGCGATCCTCGGCACCTGCTGGTGATGAAGGGCGCCCCCGAGCGCGTGCTGGAGCGCTGCAGCTCCATCCTCATCAAGGGCCAGGAGTTGCCGCTGGACGAGCAGTGGCGTGAGGCTTTCCAGACTGCTTACCTCAGCCTGGGAGGCCTAGGCGAGCGCGTGCTCGGTGAGGCCACCCTGAGCGGTGCGGGGGTGGAGGGTGGGGGGCTGACCCGGTGTGCAGGGAGGAGCGTCCTTTCTCAGCCCAGCGGCAGCTGACCTGCTCCAGCCACACACACACTTGGTCTCTCTTGGTCTCCTCTTGCCTTCATCCTGACCATCCACATCCGTAGGACTCCTTGATTTTCCCCAGCCTTGGTGCTCACTACCACCTTACTTTGTCCTCCTCTTGATCCTCTCCTTTCCCTGAGTCCCTGCCTCAACTCTACATGCTTCCAAACCCTTGTCTTGACCAGTTGATCTCAACTGTTTTGATCTCTTAAATTTCCCTAGTCTTTGCCTCTACCCTGGAAGGTACAGACCTAGGTCTTTATGATCTTACTTGCTTTGTGATCTTCAGCAAGAAATGTTCCCTTTCTAAGCCTCAGTTTTCACACCTGTGAGATGGGGATGCACTCGTAGGGTGGTTGTGAGAATGGATTTGGTTGATGTGTTGGGCACCTGATTGATGTAGGGGACCTGGCTATTTTACTATGCCCAGCCTTTCTGGAGTGAGGTCTGCTCAGACTCTTATTTCCGTTTTCTGGCCAGGCTTCTGCCAGCTCTTCCTGAACGAGAAGGACTACCCGCCTGGCTATGCCTTCGATGTGGAGGCCATGAACTTTCCAAGTAGTGGCCTGTGCTTTGCAGGACTCGTATCTATGATTGACCCGCCAAGGGCCACTGTCCCTGATGCTGTGCTCAAGTGCCGCACAGCAGGCATTCGGGTATGTCTGTTGGGGAGGGGACGGCCAAGAACCTGTGCTAGAAACCCAGCTGGAAGTAGTTTGACCCAAAATACATTAGTGCATGATACTGAAAAGTTCTAGGGCTTCAGATAAGTTCAGATAAGTTCTTGGTGTCTTTAGAACATTGACTTTATGTCTCAGCTCTGCTTTTTTTCTCCACTGGCTTTACTCTCAAGTTGTTCCTCAATTAGGGACAGCAAAGATGGCCCCCCCACCCCCACTTCTACCCCCAGACAGCTTTAACTTACATCACGCCTTGGTTGGGTCACGTGCTCACCAGTCACAGTTGCTGGGCATTACTTTGCCCAGTCTGGATCAATGACCTCACTTCAAACAATGGCTTGGGGAACAGAGATGGTTCCCAAAAGACAAATCAAGGTTAGGGGAGCCAACGCTAAGCAAGCAACTCCCAAACCCCTCTTGTAGTCTTTAAGGCTCTAAAGATCTAACCATATGTTACCTTTCTAAATGCATTCCTTAGTCTTAAATGCTTGGTCATCCTCTCCTTTCATGCTCTTTTCCCTAGCACTCAACACTTCAAGCATGTTTTTTCCTCAGGGCCTTTGCACTGGCTGTCCCTCTGCCAAAAATGCACTTTCCTCAATTTCCATGTGGCCAACTCCCTCCCTCCCTTTTGGGTCTCTGCACAAATGTCACCTTCTCCATGAGGCCCTCCTTAGGCAAAATTAACTTCTTTCAGTGAGCTTAATTTCCTCTCTCCCTCTATGATTCATTTATCTATCTATTTCTGTTGCCCAGACAGTATCAGCTCTATGAGAACTGGGGATTTTGTGTTTTTTTCCAGCCACACAGCAGGTGGTCATACTTGGTTGAACAAATGACTAAGTGTATAAGCACATGTCTATTAGGGAGGACTGGGAAACTGGGTTAACATGGAGTAGTCAAGGGTCCACTGGTCCCCCACAGGTGATCATGGTTACAGGTGACCATCCCATCACAGCCAAGGCCATTGCAGCCAGTGTGGGCATCATTTCAGAAGGCAGCGAAACAGTAGAGGACATCGCTGCCCGCCTCCGCATGCCTGTGGACCAGGTCAATCGGAAGTAAGCCCCCTCTGGCCTCTCCATGGTTTCCCTGCACCCCACACAGACTGAGGCCCCACGAGGCTCTTTTGCCCCTCCCAGGGATGCCCGTGCCTGTGTGATCAATGGCATGCAGCTGAAGGACATGGATCCATCAGAGCTGGTGGAGGCCCTGCGCACGCACCCCGAGATGGTGTTTGCTCGCACCAGTCCCCAGCAGAAGCTGGTGATTGTGGAAAGCTGCCAGCGACTGGTAAGATTGCTCTGGAGTGTGGGCCGGTGGGCCCTGGGCTGGCATTTCGCTGACCACCTCCTCTCACTGCCTGCAGGGCGCAATTGTGGCTGTGACAGGGGATGGTGTGAATGATTCCCCAGCCCTGAAGAAGGCAGACATTGGTGTGGCCATGGGCATTGCTGGCTCAGATGCTGCTAAAAATGCAGCTGACATGATCCTGCTGGATGACAACTTTGCCTCCATCGTGACAGGCGTGGAGCAAGGTCTGGTCAGCCTGGGGAAAAGGAAGTTCTGTGGCACAGGAGGAAGTGGGCTGTGAAGGACTGAGGTGTCCCCTGTATCCCCACAGGCCGACTGATCTTTGACAATCTGAAGAAGTCCATCGCCTACACACTGACCAAGAACATTCCGGAACTCACTCCCTACCTCATTTATATCACTGTCAGCGTGCCCCTGCCCCTTGGGTGCATCACCATCCTCTTCATAGAGCTCTGCACTGACATTGTGAGTCTGCAGCCCTCGCCCCCCCACGTACACACATGTGTGCATTCACACACAGGGTGCCCAGTGAACTATGCCCACAGCAGACATGATAGACTGAGGCTAGCATACATGTTCTTGGGTAGACACAGACAACACAGGAATATGTAACAAGAGCCAACTAAAAATGGGCACACAGGTAGGCATCATAGATATCATAGGCATGGACAGACCTGTGGATACAGGCAGTTTATATGTGGACAGAGATGTTAACAGACACAGAGATCTGGCCAGATGAGAATCACAGATGGATATCCCTCAACAGACATGGACAAACAGACACCCTCAGGTCCCAAGGTAGATAGACAGAAAGCAGCCACAGATACAGCCCACAATGTAGCCTGCTGCCTGGTCATGTTGATAGGTGTTTATTCAAAGACATTGATACAGTGCTCACTTTGGTCAGAGCCTAACTAATATAGCCAATGTCCTAATAGCTATCCTATGCCTGGGTTTTATTATTATCCTCCCTGTTTTACTGATGCACTCATTGAGATAGAGATGGGTTAAATGGCTTGCTTCAGGTAACATAGCTAACAGGCAGTTAGATGTCCCAGGGCCTGTGCCCTTGCTTACCACATGCTGGTACCTCTCTGGTGTCACAAGCAGTTGGGAGGGAGTGAACATGGTCACTGGGAGAGTGAAGAAAAAAGAGACAGTGACAAAGAGGTATGGAGATAGGGACACAGAGAGACACAATCACAGAGAAAGAAACTAGAGACAGGGACAAAAGAAATACAGTAAGGGACCAGAAAAACAAAAGAAGCAGAGAAGCCCAGACTGGAGTGGCCTAGAGACCAGAGGATAAAACGACAGAGAGAGAGAGAGAGAGAGAGAGAGAGAGAGAGAGAGAGAGAGAGAGAGAGAGAGGAGGAAGTTGGGGGGGGGAGTGGGTAATCCAGATGAAGGACAGTCCTAACAGCAGATATTCTCATGGAGACACACACAGCCACACTTGTGACAGACACACTGACATACCCACAGGGGAGCTGGACCCAGGTTGTCCCACAGGTGTGCTCACTACAAATCCTGCCAGTCCTGCTCTTGCCCAAAGGTTGAGAGTTGGGATGACTCCAGATCCTTGGGGTCACAGACCCAGGCAAACCCTCAGTCCTTTGGTTCTTTCTGCTTCTGGCCAGTTTCCCTCTGTGTCCCTGGCATATGAGAAGGCCGAGAGTGACATCATGCACCTGCGCCCACGGAACCCAAAGCGTGACCGGTTGGTCAATGAACCCCTGGCGGCCTATTCCTACTTCCAGATCGGTGAGTGCCAAGGGCTAGGAGGTGGGGCTGTTTAGCAGGGTGGCCTTTTGCCTGGAGCTCCCCAATAGGACCATAGGGTGTGGGCTCTGGCTTCCCTGGATCTTGGGGTGTTGCTTGATCTTGGATTTCAGTTTTTCTGTCTGTGGTGGTCACTCTGGTACTCATGGTGTCTGGTCTCATGGTCTTTTGGACGTTTTCTGCATGTGTCTCTCCCCACTTTGTCCCCATCTGTCTTCCTGTGCTTCTTTCTCTGTACCTCTCTCCCTGGTGTGCCTACCAATCTCTCCTGGGGCTCTTTTGTCTTTCTGTGTCCATGGCTGCTTCTGTGTCCCTGGCTCCATTTCCTGAGCCTTCTTTGAGTATCTCTGACCGTGACTTTCGGTGACCCTGCTATTCCTTCATCTCTGTCCCTGTCCCTCCATGTGTCTTCTTGTCTCTCTCTCAGGTGCCATCCAGTCATTTGCTGGCTTCACTGACTACTTCACGGCCATGGCCCAGGAGGGTTGGTTCCCTCTGCTGTGTGTGGGGCTGCGGCCGCAGTGGGAGGACCATCACCTACAAGATCTTCAGGACAGCTATGGCCAGGAGTGGGTGAGGCCCTGCCCCAGTCCCTCCCACATCCCCGTGCCCTGGTGTCCAGTGCTCCCCACTTCATGTGTCGCTCGCTCACTGCCTCATGTGGGACTGAGCTCAGCCAGGGCATACTGGGCACCATACTGCCAGTTCTAGGGTCAGGGGCCTTTCCACACTGTCTCTGGCCCTACGTCTGACCCTCACACTGCAGATGGGTCCTGTCCCTGCCCTGGTGGGAGCACGTCATCTTGGGGGGGGAAGGGGTCAACACCCTTCTCTTACCTTCCTTACAGCACCCCTCAGTTTTGCAGTGTGTGGCCCATTTCAGTGAAGGTTTGGAACAGTTAGGCTGGATGCAGCTGGTAAAAGGGTTTAGAGTAACAGATTACATATCAGGATTTTCCTCTTAATCATCTACTATCATAGATGAGAGTGTAGACCTGGAAGTCAGACTGCCTAGGTTCATGGGCTGGTATTTCTCCCCACAATCTCTGTGTCCCTAAGCAACTCACCTTTCCTCTCTGTGCCTCAGCTTATTCGCCTGCAAGATGGGGAGAATACTAATGTCTGCCTCAGTGGTTTTGTTTGTTCCTGGGGCAGCAGTATCTGAGTCATGAGAAACTCATGTTAAATACATTCTCAGGCCCTGCCCCAGACCTCTGGGGTCAGAAACCCCCTGAAAGTCCTTTGGGAACCTCACGCCCTTGGGGACATCTGGTGCATGCTACAGTCCAAACTCCACCAATCTCCTGCACAGGGTTGCTGGGAAGATGGGGTAGGATACTCATGATAACACTTGTTGCTGGGGCACAGTCACTTAGGTGCTATTAACATGAGCTGTGCTGAAGGAAGGACTGGAGCCGCTGCCCCTTCAAGTGGGCACATGCCCTCCATTCCCAGAGGCCCACCTGGCCCATCTTGCCATCTGCCTGGCTGCTGGAGTCCTGCCTCAGGATTCCAATTCCCTTTTCCCTGGGCCTTTACTTTTGAGTGCCTGGGAATTTTTGCTTCTCACTTTCAGTGTGCAAGCAGGTTGACCCAACCTACTTTGTGCCCAGGTGAGGTTCTCCAAGCTCTGTTAGACTCTGGGGTTCTGCCAGTGCTGCTTTCCTCTTCCCCAAGTTGACTCATGTGAAGGGGAGGGAGCTTTTAGGGGATCATAGCCAGAGAGTTTAGTGCCTGGTGCCTGGAGAGGCCCTGTATTGAGCTGAGGCTCCCGTTGTCCCTTTCTGGTCCACAGACATTCAGCCAGCGCCTGTATCAGCAATATACTTGCTATACCGTGTTCTTCATCAGCATCGAGATGTGCCAGATAGCCGACGTACTCATCCGCAAGACGCGCCGTCTCTCTGCTTTCCAGCAAGGCTTCTTCAGGTGTCCACATCTGGCCCCAGCTCTGTCCCACCCTGCCCTCTAATAGCTGGTCCCAACTCCTATCAGGTCCTGACCAGGGCTCACTCAGCCAGCAAATACCATGCAGCATTCCAGGGGCTAATCTACCAATACACAGCCTTTCTAGCCGGCCAGTTCCTCCCCTGTGGGGCTCCCACTGGCTTTCCATGTTTTAGCCACTGTCAGGTGACAAGGAGCAGGCTGGTTCCTGCTATAGAGAGGCATGGACACTCTGATGGCTAGGTTTAGAACATCTCCCTACATACTGTCAAAATCCGACCTGCTTTAACCCAGTGCTCTGCTTTCTATCTAGCCTGTCTTTGTCCCAAATCTGTATTCTGAACTTGTCCCATCCTCCCTTGCCTGCAGGAACAGGATCCTGGTGATTGCCATTGTGTTCCAGGTCTGCATTGGCTGCTTCCTGTGCTACTGCCCTGGAATGCCCAACATCTTCAACTTCATGCCCATTCGGTGAGGGCCATGAGGTGCAGGCAGAGGGATGAGCATCAGGGGACACAGGTTTGGGGACAGACTTCACCTTGCCATTTTGCCTGTGCCTACAGGTTCCAGTGGTGGCTGGTTCCCATGCCCTATGGCCTCCTCATCTTTGTCTATGATGAAATCCGGAAACTTGGAGTTCGCTGTTGTCCAGGGAGTGAGTATGGAGACTGGGGATATGGGGCCAAATGTCCTCAAAGCAGCTGCCCTCAGCTTTGGTCCTCAGCACTTGACCACCAAGCTCTTGATGCCGCCGTATCAAACTGCCACTGTCCCTTACCTCCGAGTTCCTCCCGACCAGCATCTGCCCAGCACTCAGCTCCTTCTTTTCTCTTCCCTAGGCTGGTGGGACCAGGAACTTTACTACTAGAGGACGGTTGGCTTCTGCACATTCTGCTTCTGTGGAAAGCAGGAGGGACAGGGCTGATGAGAACCTCTGGGTGGCATAATGGAGCCCCAGCCCCTCCTGTTTGCTTCTGTAGCCCACAGTGTCCCAACCTTGGAGGAACCCTCCCCCTACTCCTCCCCATCTCTAATCCCTAACTCCTGGAGCAGCAGTGGCTGGCACAGTGCTCTAGTGTGGCAGTGGGGGTTTTGACAGACAGCTGGCAGCTCCTGGGGAGGTGGGTCCATCCTTAGGGCTCCAGTCTGGAAAGGAGCTGCCATAGGCTCTTCAATAAAAACACACTCATGCTCTACCTTACAGTAATAAAACCGTCTTACCTTGACTGTACATTTATTTAGTGCCAAGTGCGGTCTGAAGGCTCTTCCATCAGCACCATTGCTCTCTACCGTCCTACAATACAGGGACAATTTATTTAGCCTGCAGCATCTCCAGGGCCTTTCCCACAACCTAGCATATAATAGGCATTCAGTAAATCTTCCTTAGGAAGGTGGATTCCCACTTCCTTGCCGAGGCTTACAGAATGTCAGCAACAGCAGGGGTGTATCTATAGATGTCTCCCACAGCCCGGCCTTTCTCCACTCCCCTCTGCTTTGCAGTGGCTTTCAGTTCTCAGCACCTCTTCTCTTTCCTGGAAGCTCCCTAACACGGGGGCCAAAATCTGCTCCACATCAAGGACATATGTCCCCACCCTTCATAGGGCCCTGCACGCTGCGCCTGCTTATTCACTCCTTTGGCCCTGCAGTGATCAGTTTTGAGTGACTCCTGGAATTATCTCCATGCCCCTCTGCAGAGCTAACTCTCCAACTGCTGGAGTTGCCCCCGCTCCCACCCGTGGCCACTTCTTTCCCCAGTGCTCTTGTGTCTCATCCCTTCATTAGTTTTCTTATTGGGCCCTAAGTTTCTCCTTCCTCTTCCCCACATCTGATCCCAACAGTTGAGCTGTGATTCTGCAGTGATGCTCAGATCTGTCCTCAATGTCCCATGCTAGATCTGAGGTGACCCACACTGGCCTTTCCATCGTTTCCTAAACCCTTTCCTACCCACTGTCAATCTCACTGATAGCACCACGGCCCCATCAGTATGGATTCTTCTCCCCAGGCAACATGGGGATCCTCAGAGAGCTTCCAAGCTTCAAGCTTGTACCTCCCTGGACTCCTTTTTGTTGCTTCTTAACAAAATCATCATTTCCCCACTGTGCCTCCTGCTGATGAATAAAAGCCCACTGACCACCACCACCTCTCAGATTTGGCATCTGACATCTATCTTGGCATCCTGGCTTCTGTCTACTCCACACAAGAGCTTCCAAAGTCCATGTTTGACCCTGTCCTTCCCCTGCCTACAACTCTCCATGGTTCCCCATTGTCTTGATAACTCCACAACCAGTCTTCAGACTCTTCTCTGCTCTGGCCCCTGCTAACTTTTCACAAGACCCCAGTTCTTATGCCCCCCAGAAAGCCAGGCGCTCTGATCTCCAGACTTTGCATCTACCTTATTCCACTAAACTCAATTTTTGGGTCTCAGCTCATACAACCAACTCCTCCTCAACCTTCTCTGGCTGGGTTGGACTGCTCCTGTGTCCCCATAAAGCTTGTTTCCCTTCACCATTGCCTTGTTCATCACAGTCTACCGCTGCCCAGGCATCAGTCATAGCCCTGATCATTCTGGTCTGTCTGTGCTCCCCACACCACAGCCTTAACCTCTCTAGCTTCTCTCCCTGAGCCCATGTGAGATGGTATTATTCAGACAGCTGGCCATTTCTGCAACCCTCTTGTCCCAATATGCATAAAAGCTAGATAGGTCACGAGATGGGAGATGTGAAACTGACTCCACTCTCTCTCTCTAGAGGGGCTGGAGTGTGCCCCACCAATCTTTCTCCACCAAAACTGGGGTAGCTAAGCATGCCCAGCTCCCAAGACACCTGTGGGTGGTATTCACTCAGGGTGCTGATATAAGTAGTGGCTTCCCCACCTGAGAACACCAAGACTGTCACAGCAGAGCTGATTTTTCCTAGCACTTGAGTTAGAAAACATGGAGGACCATGACAGCCTGGCAGGAGGGGGCCACTGTCCTATCTCATGTCCTAAGCGTCTCATTAGGAATACCAAGGATGCTGAGAACTTTCCTAAGGGTAGGACTTGCATTAAAGTGAAACTTAAGTGTGATATTCAAAGCTGGCCCGATAGACCAAGCAGACAAAGAGCTGGACCGAGGGACCAAGGAAGAGAGGTGACAGTGGCGGTAGAAGGTAGTATCCAGGCCAGTGTCCAAGAAGCTGGGCTCTAATAATACTCTTTATCTGGCTGAGCTGTACTCCATCTTGAGAAAACTTAAGCCAAAGTTTGACTGGAAGGCCACAGACCTGAATCAACACTAAGAAGCTAAGAATCAAATCTATACTCCATTCCACTCTCCTTCACAATGGCCTCATGGTTTGAATGATGTTAAGGGTATGAATGAGCAAATCATCTCGGAAAAGCTAAGAAATCAATGGCAAAAACAGAGGTCACCACCTTCCACACAGTAAGTAGCTACAAATAGCTGTAAGCAAGGAAGGGTGATGTAATAGGTTTCAAACAGAGGCTGCCAAATAGAGGACGGTCAGAGGGGAAAGCTGATGCTGGCAGTCATGCAGGTAACAAGCCAGGGAAAGGCCCAGTTGAAGCTGTGAGAAGGAACCCCTAAGAGCCTTCTCTTGTATTGTTGCTCCCCAAATCTGTTCCCTGGCTTCTGGTGCTGTTCAAAGATCATCTACCTTCAGTCCACCACAGGAAAACGAGAAGTCCAAGGAACTGCTTGAGGAGCAGAGGAGAAGTCAGTACAGCACAGCAGACTGGTTAGCAAGCCAGAATAAGGGTGGGCAGGGTACAGTGCCTGAGAGAGAAATGGAGGCAGAGACAACTTTCCAAATACTGTTTATTTCACTAAAACCTGGAGAGAAGCAGGGAAAATGAATGCCAGTGTCTGTGACACCAAGCCTAGGAGTGCACGTTGACAGCAGCAACATACAGGGCCAAGGTGCTGAGGGCCAGCAGCCCTGTTACTACTGCTCGGGCCAGCAGTGCTGTCCAGCTGCCCAAGGAGCAGAGGTGGACGATGGTCCTGTGGGAAAACATCACAGTGAGGGAAGCAGAATAGAAAACCTACCCTTGTTTGGACCCACCGCATACCCCACCCAGCTCACTCCATGACAAAGGCCTTGTAGACACTAAGGAACATCAATAGGAGGACAGCTGGCCGGAAAGTGTGGTACAGGTCATAACGAGTTATCATCCAGACCTGGGCGGATGCAACGATGTAATGGACCTGGAGGGAGGGAGGGAGGCAAGAAGTCAGAACTGAACCCTGGGGGAAAATATGGTCACCAGCAAAGAGGCATGTGTATATCTATGGCGGGGAGAGCAGGACTGCATACCAGACTGATATTGGAGTCAATGCTCATCTGGATGTATTTCCAGTCAAACTCAATGCCTCGGGCTCCGACCCAGAGAGGGATGCAGCTGAGGAAGGCAAAGGAAGAGTTTCTCTGGTACCCAGACACCCTGAAAACTTAGACTCTGTGCCCCTATGCTCCAGCACCCCTGTGGAACCCAAGCGTCCTTTCTCAAGATCTGGGACCCAGGCTGCTGCACACACCGGGACATAATGAGCTCAGCCGTGGCCCAGCCCAAGGCAGCAACCATGATCTTGTACTCGCCCTTGCCGGCATTCCTGGACATGACAAGGTTTAGGCCTATCAGGTCTGCCATATCCACGCTGGCCTTCATGAACTCCTGTGGGTCAGAGTGAAGCCGGAGTAAACACAGAGGCTGCCAGTTCCACTCCTGCACCCCCTGCCCCTTCTTCACCCTACTCACCCCAATGAAGTCATAGATGCCGCCTTCCCAGGTAGGGAAGAAAGTGGCCAAGAACAGCATCTGAGAGCAGAGGGCAGAAAGGTCATCTTAAGGTGAGGGGCATAACTCATGTGGGTTTTGTGGGAAGTTAGGGTATATGTGGAGAGCAGGATATTGGTTTTTGGGCTCCTTCTGGGAGAGGGTAGTAAGATCACTGAACTGGGGGCGATAACCAGGTTAAGTTCCTTGCTCCCTGAAGGGCTGGAAGTCATAGGGGAATCTGAATGAGGTCCAGAGGTGTTGGGTGTGGCTGCTTGGGCTGTGTTAGCACAGTGCAGCAACCCTCGGGGTTACAGTCTAAATTATATCAAAACAAAACACCTTTTAGCGAACCGTACTAGTGACATTCAGTTTCACTAAAAGTGCTAAGAAAAAGTTGCTTTGAGATCTCGGCTTGAGTTCCCTTCCTTTTAGTCTGTCCTCTTAAGCAAAAAGAAATGGTCCTCACGCAGAGTCCTGACAGCAGTCCCACAGTGGAGGATAGCTGGACCACCAGGTCTCAGGGTCCAGAGAGCCCGGGGCCAGACACGTGGGTTCCAGGCGGCCCTCACCTTGCACAGCTGCACGAAGAGGTAGGTGACCCCGGCTTGGACGCATTTCCAGAAGGCGTTGTATTCAGACCTGGAGAAGCGGGCGGTGAAGGGTCGACCTAGACCCCGCGCCCTCTCCGCCCCGCGCCCATCCCGCACTCACAGGCCGCTGCACTTGTACGTGATGAAATAGGGAAAGTAAGCCAGGGCGAAGCAGTTCCCAAAGTGGAACAGGGTCATGACGGCGGCAGCCCCGTCCCGCCGGCGCGGGAATAGCGAGGCCGGGGGTTCCGGGAGCGGGTGTTCGGTTCCGCCGCCACTCTTGCCAGGCTGGGGCCTGGCGCCCACCTGACTAGCCCCGCTGGAGCGCGGCCTTCTGGGAGCCGTAGTCCGGCCTGGGGCGTCGCGCTCGTGACGTCAGAGAGCCGCCATCCCGCCCCCTTCCTTTGTATTACCTGGCTATCTACTGCAGTGGGCGTTACCAGCCGCAGCCAGCCGTGCCGTTTCCCGATGTGAACCCTGACCTGAACGCGCGCAGTGACTGGCACAGAGACCAGGCGCAGTTGTGAACACGTGGGTTTTTATTTCGCCCGGGGAGCCAAGTGCGAGCATGCAAAGAAGGGGCTTTCAGATCTAATTCTCTTGACTGAACATGTAGCGGAGGAGGTCGACCACCCGATGACTGTAGCCATATTCGTTGTCGTACCTGCGGAGGGACGTAAAGGAGGAGGCTTCAAGGCGATCCCTCCGACCACCCCTAAAAGCCCCCCCACGATCCTTTGACACCCTTTTCCCCTCACCAGGAAATGAGTTTCACGAACTTGTCATTGAGTGCGATGCCAGCCTTAGCATCGAAGATGGACGAGTGGGTATCACCAACAAAGTCCGTGGAAACCACCTGGGTGTTACAATTTCAAGGATAAGGTTGGGTAGCAGAGCAAGGACCTCCAGAAGCTCAGGCTTTTATTCTTATGGTACTGTGTCTAATCACTTCTCATAGTTGATAAGGCCTCGGTGTAGGCCTCTTGTGTCTGGGGATGGGGTGTGACCAAGGAACATGGACTCTCCAAAGTACAAGCCGCAAATACTGTAAAGTGGTACCAATAATATAACTTCTTGGGAATAGGGTGGGCTTGGCATGGGTCCTCATGGAGGCTTTGAGGGTGGCTGTGAGACCGGGTCTCAGTGATCAAGCTCTGGCAATCTTGGGTACTCAGCACAGTGTCTGAGGCAGAAAGAGCTGGAGGCACAGGCCCTGTGAGTTTGACTCCTCAATAATGGAACACAAAAGGGTTTCCAGAAGTGGAGGTGATCTGGTCAGATTCTGCTGAAAGGATCCTGGTACTTCTGTGAGTGGGCCCGCAGGAACTAAAGCAGGGACATAGTACCCAAGAGATGTATGGAGATGGCATTTCAGATGGAGACATCTACTTCCAGAGAAAACACTGATGATCTCCCAGACACCTGCCATGGCTTGCCTGTGAGCAAGTGTTGTAAAACTAGGAGTGCATTGAACACCTGCGGTATGCCAGACCTTGGAAGCTATGAAACTGAGAAGATAGCTCTTAAATTCCTACTTTCTTGAAGTGCACATCATATGTGCCAACAGAGACCGTGACTATGAAGTAAAATTTGTGGGGAGGAAAAGGGCCACAAAAAAACATTTTTCAAGGAGAAGGAGTAATTGGAGGAAGTGAGGGCAGACTTGCCAAATGGGAGGAAAGTGTTATAAAACTCAGGAGCAGCAAGTGCAAAGGCCTGGAGGCAGGGAGATATACTTCTCCAGGCCTACAATCCCTATCTTGACTCATGGAGAACAGCTCCTTGACAAGTGGAGATCACCCTGAGCCCCATGTAAGAGGGTTCCTTCCAAAGTTTCCTCAGCCCCTACCTCATCCTCAGTGTAGGCAAGGATGCCAGCCATGGGTCCGTTGGCTGCTGCTTGTATAGCCTCCTTGATAGCTGAGTAGGAGGCAGACTGGGCCAGGCAGCAGGTGAGATCCACAACAGACACGTCTGGGGTTGGTACTCGGAACGCCATTCCTGTTAGCTTCCTGGAGAATCTCATAGTAGAGTGGGAGTCAGAACCTGCCTCTGCTTTGGGGCCATCCAGTCTGGGGTTTTCCCCCTACCCTGGTCACAGCTTCCTGTTCGCATACCCTTTGAGATCTGGGATGACTTCACCCACAGCTTTAGCTGCCCCGGTGGAGGCTGGGATGATGTTCTGGTGGGCACCCCGCCCATCTCGCCAGGCCTTCTTTGATGGCCCATCCACTGTCTTCTGGGTGGCCGTGTAGGAATGGACTGTGGTCTTAGGAAAGAAGATGGCTGAGTGAGGCTTTCCTGCTCTTGAGGTCCTGCACTATGTTCTTTTAGGACTGGGTTGGTGGCTGAGGTACAAAGGCTGACGAGCTCAGCACCACAGACCACATGCAGGTTAGGGCACAGCTTTGACTGGGAGTTGTACTCTGTTTTCAAACTGAACATTATCCTGGCATGGTGACACACACTTTTAATCCTAGCACTGGGAAGGCTGAGGCATGAGGATCACTATGAGTTTGAGATCAGCCTGGGCTACACAGTGAGTTCAAGGCCAGCCTGAATTGCCTGGCAAGACCCTGTCTCAAGACACAAAGCCTAAACACTAACACCGTCCACTGGTGGGCCTCTCCCCTCAAACTACCCTCTCCCAGTTAATGCCATACACTGAACAGGGCCTGGGAGGAAGTTGGGTTTCCCTGCTGTCCCTCCTTCCCAACCCCTCAGCCACAACTTACCATCAACCCTTGTACTATCCCAAATTGCTCATGGATGACCTTGGCAAGTGGAGCCAGGCAGTTGGTGGTACAGGATGCATTGCTGAAATGGCCCACACGTGCAAGGGGGCTGTGAGAGGAGTCACAGCCTCCCCTCCACCCTCATCCCCTTGGCTTTGCACCAGCCTTGGTTTAATGACGAGTCAAGATGGGGATGAGAGAGCTCAGTGGGGAGGCATTCAGGCAGCAGAGACACCCATGGTGCAGCTGGGGAGGCTCCCTAAGCATATCCTCCAGAAGTTGTGCATTTCTAACAGGTGGTCTTAGGGTGTCATGATGATGATGATTGTGAGACTTAGGGACAGAGAAGCAGGAGCAGGCTGATGTGAAAGAAGTATCAGGGATCTTGCAGGATTGAGGAAAGTGAGTCTGTCCACCTGTCCCGCCACAGGCTGGTGTGTCCCTCAGGATGTTGTTGCCCGTTACCTGACAATTTTCATGGATCCAGGGTTATAACTCTTCTCATTCACTCCCATGACAAACATTGGTGCATCTGGTGAGGGTGCACAGATGACCACACGGCGGGCACCTCCTGAGATGTGTGCCTAGCAAAGGAGTACAAAGGTCAGTGTGTCAAGTGTCACAGTCTCTCAACCAGCCCACGGGCACCTTACCCCACTTACCGAAGTTGCGTCTAGGGACAGGTACACGCCTGTGGCCTCTACTACATAGGGGTTCCCAACTTCACTCCATGGTATTTCTTTGGCTTCCTTGCTGTGGAGGGGTAGCAAGAGTGTGAAGGATTGTTCCCTGTACAGGCCTCACCTTTGGAGTCCAAAGTCTTAACTGTATGATGACATTTTACTGCTGACCAGATACCCACTTGGCCTGTCACTGCCTATCCCCACCTTCTTTGCATACCTAGCTGCACCAATGGGGGCCCATCCTGCCTTGCTTTTCATCACTACCCATTATGGGCCATTCTTCCTTGTCTGTACTTCCCCTCCTGTGCCCTGGTACAGGCTGCTACCTCCCTAATTCAGGCCACTACTTTCTCAAGGGGACCATCCCTGACTATGTTCAGTAGGATCTGACCTGTTCTGCGTAGGATTCCCACTGTGAGGCCTGGTCTGCTTTCTGGTCAACTTCACTGTGGGCCCTGCTACACCCCTGTATAGCCAGTTCCTGCAGAGTGCACCACTGCCAGAGGCTGAGAAGTCCCCAAAGGGCAGACACTGGCATCCAGAGGGCTGGGAGAACTGTGCTCTGAGGCAGGCAGCCTTGCGGCCAGCAGGGGCTTGTCAACAGGCAGAAAAGGAAGAGAAATTTTCTGGTACTTTTCTGGTCCCTATTATATCAGCCTACATTTTTATTTGATATTTTGACAAATGTTTGTATCTGAAATGTATTAAACATCTATTGCTGTTTTCTACTTGGTTTTAGTAAGCAAGCATGAAATGAATCAACTATTTGGCAGCCTTGTTGCTTACAGAGGTACCACAAATAACAGGGATATTTTCTTCTTTGATTGTTTGTACCCATGTCATCTTCTAGACCATTTCATAATACAAGGCTGATCTGTTTCGTTTGTTATTGATCCTGTCCTTTTGAGGGCCTTTTTATTTTTATTTTTTTACTTTTTTGTGGTATTGAGATTGAACCTGGGGACCTTTACACTGAACTGCATCCCTAGCCCTGTTTTAAAAAAGCATTTTTGACACCGAGTTCCACTTTGTAGTTCATCCTGGCTTTGAACTCACTACATAGCCCAGACTAGCTCAAACTAATGGCAATCCTCCTGCCTCAGATTCTCACATACTGGGATTACAGGCATAGGTTACAATGTCTGGCAAAGTTTTTTAATTTTTGAGGCAGTCCTACTATGTTGCCTAAACTGTGCTCAAACTTGTGATCCTCTTTCCTCAGATTTCCATAATGCTGGGAGGTTTTAAAAACTAACCATTCTAGGCTCCTAGCTGACTCTGTGGATTTCTGGGGACCATTTCTGGAGCCTGGAAGACCCAAGGAGCACCTGCCCTATCTGGAGTTGGTGCTGGGATCTGATGGCCCTGTGGCAGAGCCTACAAGACTTGGGAACTGAGCGCCCTACCTCCAGTCCCTGTGTTCTTCACAGCAGAGGGCAACAGAATAGACAACAGAACAGTCTAATTGAAGAAGACACTAACTAATACCCAGGAGACAGTCTCACTTCAGGATCAAAATGATACCTGTCCACAGAGACTGAGTGAGAGACAGCCTTGAAATTTAGGTTCAGAGAGGATAAGAGCTAAATAGAGATCTCCTGAGATCCCTAGACTAGGAAGATCATAGGACTTGTATTCTGTTGTGGGAGGCCAGGTGTGATGTGAGTAACCATTATAGGTGTTGGTCCTGAAGAAGGCATTTAACCCAGTAGCATGTTTGAAGTGTGGAGGAGTGCCAACATACAGAAGAAACCAGTGCTGTAAATTACTGTAGGTAAGGATAAGGAGTGCCTAATTTTCTTCACTGCAAATAGAATTAATTTTGTTTTGGTGAAGGTTTGTCATGAGTGATTCCTAGGGTTTGTCAATAAGGATGCATCATTACTGAATTCACTACCATAGACAAGGTAACATAGTAGGAGCTGGCGATTGGTTTTCTTCCTATGCCAATACTTGCATAGCCCGGGGAGGCAGGATCATACACAATACTGTGGCTTGCCAATGAAGAATAGGCACAGAGCCAAAGAATCTGCAAGTTCCAACACAAAAAAACAATTCCAAAGCCAGAACTATGAAAAAGCAAAGCAACAAAATGCCTTCAAAAACTCCCAACTCTCTCCAAATCAGTACAAGAGGAAATGAGGGGAAAGGAAATCATAAGCTACATAGTAGATAGGTCTGAGAAGGAATCAATGGAGGTAAAACTGTTCTTCAAGGTGCTTAGCAAATTTATAAAAGATATAACAAATCACATTTGAAAATATTGAGACAAATGATCAGAGAGTCTAGAGAAGATACTAACAACTAATAAAGCTAAAGAATGAGAAGCAAAAAATGAATGCCCAGCATAGAGAAGAATGGGAAGCTGTAATAAAAGTCAACACAGAAATCTAGGAGATTAAGAATGTGATTAAAAGTATGGGTAGCAGAAACAACCAATGCAAAGACAGTGTCAGACCTAGAGTACAGGGCTGTGGTCAATGATCAATTAATGAGAATCACCTTAAAAAACAAAAGAACAGGAAAAATGGATACAACAGCTCCTACATGACTCAAAGAGCTAACATAATAATTGGAATTAAAAAATTAGATACCACCACAAAGGCATAAAAACTTGTTTACAAAAATAATAGCAGAAAACTTTCCAGAGATGGGAAAATAATTTAACATGCAGATAAGTGAAACATACAGGTCCTCAAATAACCATAGTCAAAAAACCCCAGTCCATACCACATAATAATTAAAATCCAGAAATACAATGCAAAAACAGAATCTTACAAGTTTCTAGAGGAAAGCAACAAATCGCCTATAAAGAAAATGTATCAGAATTACAGCCAATTTCTCAACACAAAATAAAGGCAAGGAGAACATAGAATGAAGTGTTTTAAGCTCTTAAAGAAAACAACTTCTAATCCAGACTCTTTTATCCTACAAAGTTATCTTTTTTTTTTTTTTGGTATTGGGGATTGAACTCACCACCCCATGTGTTGTAGTCAGGGGTTGTACACAGAGAACAACTAGGATTAGGACATGGAGTTTATATTTTTATAATGGTCACTGGAAGTTAACACAGGAAAATGCAGGAAATCTATCTGAAACACCAAAGACATTGATTATGTAGTCATGGCAATGTCCCACATGAGTCCAGATAAAAACCCAGAGCTCAGGACAATGCCTCTAGGAGTCCAACTGGAGGTCCAGAGCCCACAAGAAGGACTCACCCTAGTCTCTTTTGCGGATCCGTGTATGCCAGCAGGATGAAGGAGCTGTGCTAGTGGGATGAGGGTTCTACGCTGGAGCTGAGAAGTCACACTCACAACAAAGACCAGGGCTATCCTGAAGGCACCACAGCCATCCTCAGCAACACTGAGGCCCCGAGCTCCGACAACGACAAGCACAGTCGGGTATGTGCCAAGAAGCAGCGTGAAGAGTTCATCCTGGAGACCAAGCAGCACATGTCTTCCCCTCCGGAGCCAGGAAGCGATGCTCGATGTGAGGACCAAAGCTTCTCCAGGAGAACCAACAGCTCAGACAGCAACTCGTAGGAGAACCCACAATGCCTCCTTAACGCCTCAACCCTCTCTTCTTCTCCACCTATTTATCCTGGCAGCTTTCCTCAGGTGGAGCATCTTCACTCAATGCCATGCTGATGTAATCCAGCTGGCGTTAAGTTGGCCACCAGTTCTTAACCTGTAACACCACAGCTAAATCCACAGCCCTGCTTCCCTTTTTAAAGAATATATTTTTTTTAAGTTCCAGGGATCAAACTCATGACTTGTTCTTGCCAGGCAGGCTCTTTTTTAAAAAATTTTATTTAAAGAAAGACTAAACAAAACAGAAAATGGGTAGAAATGATACATACTTTCAAAGAAAAAAAATAAATAGTAAGAAATCACTAGTCGATGATTACAGATTGTCCTCTTACGTATTCAAGATACTAAAGTGGAACATATAAAGTGGGGACTCAAACAGTGAGACTGCAACCAGTTCTATTCAACTACCAACAAAAACTTAGAAATATGGTTATCAGTCCAATACACTTAAACATACATGAAGTTATCCATATCTTCAATTATGTTAAGATTGAACAAACCGAAGCAGGCTTATATGACTCTGAACAAATAATAATAATAATACGATTGCTGTGTTTCACATTATGACACTCCAGGATCAGCACTGGGTACTTTAGTGTCTCTTTTTCTTTAAAGTATTTATTCATTTCATCATGTGTCATAAGATCAGTTCTCATAAACTGTTTATAGAGTCTACACATGCATGAGTCTTAACATGTATTTCTATCCTTTCTATATTAGAGGAAGAAACAAAGCAAAACAAAACAAAACATATTCCTACAAACACATGAAATGAAAAAAGACATATAAGACCATTGTTCAAGGAGTTCTACCGTAGTTACTGTGTTGTCTCTCGTTATCTTCAATAGAATTGGCTATACCATCAGACATAGTATAATTGAATATATCGGTACATAACAGTATTAATAAAAACACAACTTTGTATATAGTATAAAACTTCAAAAACTGGCAGTTATCAAGCCAGAATGTATATTGTAGAGTCTTGTCATCTTCAGTGTAGTTGCCTATACTCTCAGACTTGATACTATCAGTCACATCAGATTTGAATAAAATCTGTCAATACCAAACAGCAATTAAACAAACCAGATTTAACTAAGAACAGTCATGATAAAACATTATAAGTCATACAGGACTCCAGATTAAGTTAATAAGAAATTAAAGATGATTACTGTGCTATATCCTGATGTTTTTGGGATAGCTGTCTGTGCTCTCAAATCTAACGCAAATAGACAAACTGGGACAGAATAAAATCTATCTAAGCAGAATGGTGCAAGTAATGTGAGTTTTAAATTCTGATACACTATTAACAATATCTCCTGCCATCTTTTTAAAGACTCTCCCTCCCCTTTCACTTCCCCAGGATTCACTGTGCATTTTTGGGTCTCACCAAGACCCTTGGTTTTAAATTGGGGGGGGGGTAGCCTGCTATTTACCTAAGTGTTTCCAAACCTCCTCTCTCCTGGACTTGATCTCTAAT